TATATATATATATATATATATATATATATATATATATGGGTAGACTCGTGAGAGTACGAGGGTTCTAAAAATATTAATTTTATCAGATTCCGAGGCGTGGGCCCGAGGGGCGTTTTGGTCATTTTACATAATTTCGCATATTAGCTTAGAATTTAATTGTAGAATCAGCTTCTTGAAGTGTTATTTACATTATGAAATGGAATTGGATAGATTCGAGCCATTTGGAGTCGGATACTCGTGGCAAAAACGTGGTTTCTAGTTGATTTTAAGCCGGTTCGAGGTAAGTGGCTTGTCTAACCTTGTGTGGGGGATCTTCCCATTAGGATATGATGTTTGATAATTGAAATGCCTTGTACGTAAGGTGACGAGCGCGTACTTGAGCTAATTGTTGAAAAACCCGGTTTGATTTTTAGTATTTAAACTTAGTTCCTTTCCTTCCTGTTTATTCTACTTGCGACTTTAGCCTGTTGTTAGTTTAGAAAAGCATGTTTAGTTGACTTAATTACCTTTTGCTTAAACTGCTTTAGTTGCATTATGTGAAGCATGTTAGACTAGAATTAACTGTTTACTTGATACGTATTTAGCATTTAATTGAGTATCCTTGTGTTGCTTCTGTGTGTTTTAATTTGGGACTACGGGACGACATCCCGGGAGATCCCCTGTACGTATTTATGATCTGGACTGAGGTGCGGGATACCAAGAGATCCCTGGCACGTATATTGAGGATACCAAGAGAACCTCGGGATACCAAGAGATCCCTGGCATATATTGAGGATACCAAGAGATCCTCGGGATACCAAGAGATCCCTATCATACATTGAGGATACCAAGAGATCCTCGGGATACTAAGAGATCCCTGGCATATATTGAGGATACCAAGAGATCCTCGGGATACCAAGAGATCCCTAGTGTGTATATATTGAGGATACCAAGAGATCCTCGGGATACCAAGAGATCCCCGATATATATTGAGGATACCAAGAGATCCTCGGGATACCAAGAGATCCTTAGTGTATATATATTGAGGATACCAAGAGATCCTCGGGATACCAAGAGATCCCTGATTATTATCCCTGTTGTGAGCGGTGTTACCTGGTGATTTGTCTTTATATTCTGTTTCCGTTATTGTACTCTTATTATCATGTATAGACTCTTACTATAGATTCTCAATTATATTGTTTATCTTAACCTATCACTATTATTATTATTTACCTCAGTAGGGCCCTGACCTTCCTCGTCACTACCCGACCGAGGTTAGGCTTGGCACTTACTGAGTACCGCTATGGTGTACTCATGCCCCTTCTGCGCATGTTTTTCATCTGCAGATCCAGGTACTTTTTTCAGGATTATCATCCTTGAGGGAGGCGACTTCAAGGTATAGCTGCCGCGTCCGCAGACCGTAGAGTCTCTTTCTATTCTTGTTGTTTAGTATTAGCCCTTCTGTATTTTCAGTTCTTGTTAGACATTTTGGAGTTAGAGCTGTGTAGTACTTCTTAGCTTGTGATTCATGGGTTTTCGGGTCTTGGATTTGTGTGTTGGTTTTGAGAGTTAAATATGGTGTATGCCGAGCGACACATTTATACACTGGTTATTTCTTATTTCTGTTTTAAATTGTTTTACTTCCGCAAAATTCTTGGTTTCTTTTCCGCGATTAGGCTTACCTAGTCGTAGAGACTAGGTGCCGCCACGACAGTTCACGGAGGGCGAACTGGGATCGTGAAATACATCAGTCGCATATAAGTCACATTAATCCAGCATTATGAGAAAGTTGATGAAGTTGATGTTCCTAGGTTCATCTGTTTTGTGGCAGCCTGCTAAGTGTCGGCTATTTTTTCATCTTTACGCATAACTGTTGTAGCATTTTGGTTCTTATTGATTGTTCATAAAACTTATATTTATCACTGATGTAGCTATCTGAATTGGGATGTGCAAATTCAAGAATTATAGTTGTTACATTAATAGCCTTACTAGCCCTTTCTATTCTGATTTTGCAAACCTGGGAACTTTTACTTCTCTGTATCCTTCATAAACATCATTCATAAAATAGCGTAAAGATTCGTATATATAAAACTTATTTGCGACTGATTGTTGATAAAACTTAAAATAACTGGTGTACCATTCTGCTTCTTATACATTGTTCAGTATATCTTCACTCCTAAAACTTATATGCGACTGTTGTTGTCTATATACTTCTACGTTCAAGTTTGGCAGAATGGCTTCATATTTCGTAGTTTTGCCTTTATCTTACAGATTTGTATGTATATGGTATACAACTTCTCTATATAGCATTTTGGCTTTTGATATAAAATCTTTAAGATAACTTCACTTAAGTTGCATAAATTCTCTATATAGCATTCTGGTTTTTCATATGAAACAGGTAGGATAATTTTAGGCAGTGATCTCCGCTATATACGAGCTTATAATTGCGCGCTAATAATGAATCTGATTTTGTAGGGTGATCGTATACATGCTTCAATCGGAAAGTATGTTCTCAAGTTTTTTAGGAACAAGATACATGAACTTCGCTTATATCGTATGAACTACTTTGTCGTCGGACCAAATAATCTGAAGTTGAGGACTATGACACACAACCTGAGGCTAACATTTACTCAAAAGATATTTGTTGAGGAAACAGATGATCCTTCATTTCATATGAACATCTTTAACTTGCGCCCTTTTGACCAACTAACAAATCAACATGATGTCGATGAGACAGAATTATGTGGTAATTCTTCTTTTCATTTGTAACGAATTAATGGTATTGGTAAAACTATGTTACTCACTTTTATCTATCTATCTATCTATCTATCTATCTATATATATATATATATATATATATATATATATATATATATATATATATATGTTGCTGGTCAGGTTGTCACCTATGAAGATGTTAAGACCTACAAGCAAGGAGACGACGAAAGTGTATTTATTAATATTATACTCGAAGATGATCAGTAAGTAATTGAAAATTTTAAATATTTTTTTATGGATAGCTTACCTATATATGTCTATATTAACCTTACTATGCAACGTATAGGAGGAACAGGATTGTGGCAACCTTATGGAGCGAACATGTGGATTAAATTCAACATTACTTGAATGAATCGACCGATGAGCCGATTGTTGTTTTTCAGCATATGAAACCTCAAAAATATCGAGGTTTACCGTATATTACATGTTTTTTCCCGGCTTAGTGTATAAATATTTTTATGTCTACAATATTTATTAACAATACTCAATTTTTACAAACCTTTAACCAAAGCCAGATTAGCTACCTATGAGTCGTTGTGCATGCTTGATTGTTGAATTCTACATCCACCCAATAATATGCATGATATCTACTAGAAATTTTAATTAAGCTTTACTTTCCATTCAACTCAACACAACCTACCTACTTAATTTTTTTCACCCATTATATAAACCTCAACTGTATAGAGCACAAAAGTGTAATAACGTGGGATAAAAAATTTAAAGGCAAGAGAGAATTAATTCATCCAAAGATAGTGGTGAGTTTGCAAATATTGGAGTATATATTTTGTACAAGAAGAAAGAACTACTGGCATTCTTTATTATAAGTTTTTTTGGTGAGTTAGCAGAATTATATTATACAGTGGAGAATGAAAGTAAGTTCAGTACACTCACATCAGTATGACCTCCGACGCCAAGTGCTACTTCAAGTTTAGGCCATTTTTAAAAGTGCTTTTTAAGTCAGTTGCCGGTCAGATTCGCTACTTACTTTTCATTTCATATATAGGCAATTACTCTGTGCGTAGCTGTTGGTTTCAGACAAAGATATGGATAAACTCTACGTTGCCACAGTCTACTGAATTTAAATCGAGGTTTGTCACGTGTATACTCCTTTTCATTATTCACACAAAATATAACAATACTATTTATAAATAACAATTTTTGACTTATGTAGGTTACTTGCAGCACGTCCGTCAAACATTGAGAGAATCACTCAAACAAGTTCTCAGCAAAGTTACTCTATTAGAGATGAGTAGACAAAGGAATTGTAGAGTTTAAAACTATTAGGGATTTAGTTCAGTGCACGCAAGTGAGTTTAATTAACTTTGTCAATTATATGTACTTTATGTTTTCTGTTTTGCATTTACAATAAACTTTTGTTTTTTTTAAATGGGAAAGTAGCTGTTGGATTGCGGCAGAATTGGTAAGTTTGGAACTTGACCGGGGATGGTCATACTTGGCATGCAACAAGTGTAGTCGAAAGGTTGATAAAGTTGGAAATAAATACTTGTAAGAAATGCAATGAAGATCAATTTTCATGTACTCACAGGTAATTACTATCTATGTTTATTTAAAATTTTATATATTAAAAAAACCATAAGTTTAATCAAAATTGAGTTGCAGGTATAGGCTCCAAGTACGAGTTATGGATGGAACCACTTTTATCTCATTGTTTCTTTGGAATCGAGAGCTATGCATCTTATAGGGAGGTCCGCAAAAGAACTTAAGGAAAGCTCCCTTGAGGTATACTACAAAACTTATTTTGATTAACTATAAAAATACTTCTAACCTATGAATTTTGGTGTAGAATTCACTTGCGGATGCTGACTGTTCTTATCCAAGTGAACTGGACGCTATTCTTTATAAAAAATTAATGTTCAAGGTTATTGTCAAGCAAGAGAATATTGAGTCTCAGGTCGAAGTCTACAAAGTTCTTAAGCTTAGTGACGATGATGACCTTTTAAAGGAATACAGCCACAGTTTATTCGAAGACAATTCACCGTAAATTTTTTTACCTCACAAAACTCCTAACACAAAATTTAAGTATAAATACTTTTGCACCCATTGAATGAATGTTCTATTTAATTTCTGTTTAACAGGATCCAAAGTTTTTTGATGGACAAAGCTCAAGTGGAGATAAGCTTTTCGGGGTAAATTCCATGAAATTTAAAGTTTTACAGCATTATTTATTTGTTTAACAATTATAGTCAAAACTATGCAAGTAACAACAGTATTGCTCTCCAACTGGTATTAAATTTTTTGGCTGTTGGAAGGATGTAATGGCCGAAAGTCAGCAGTCTATTTTGCAAACTCCCATCGATAAAAGCGTATCAGAAAGTGGATCGTCGGTGTTAGAAGATGGTGATGCTTGCAATATAAAAATATGTCCTCTGAAGAAGTATGACAAGAAGACTAGATCCGCTAATAAGGCATCAGCAGCAGGACCAGATGATGACTTCAATTCTCAACTCTCTAGCAACAAGGTTCGCAGGGTCATAAAGAAAGAAAAGAATCCCTAATTGGTTTTACTGCAATGCGTCTAGCTGTGCACTTATATATTTTGTACTTATGTCGCTTCAATGTTCTGCGTTTTATATGTTATATGGTGAAATGACTCTACCTATGCAACTTCATATTTTCTTTATCAATCATGAGTTGAGTTATTACTTATGTTACATATACCAAAAATTGATGCGATTTCCGGGAATGAGGATGCTACATTGGTCCTGCTGACTTAGTATCCTACAGTGATTGGCGGATCTCCTACCTGCTGCCTTACTATCCTGCAATCATGTAATATAAATCTTAGTCAGGCGCATTTATTTCCTTAGTTAATTTCTCCATTTTTGTAATAAGTCTCTCACAATCATGTAATGTTAAAAATGACATACGTTGGTACGATATAGTTCCTTAGTTAATTTCTCCTATAAGTTAAAGGGACTAAGAGGTGCACTTACACTCATAAAAGCGATATCCTCGTCATTTTTTGGCCTTTGAATACCCGAGCATACGGGGTAATTGAACTTTTCTGTCCCTTGCTTTACTTCTTTTGCATTCTATACAGAATTGAAAACCAAAGGAGAAGGGTTATGTAGACCTCCATTTTCAGTAGCAACTAACTTTCTGTTACTTTTGATTATAGGGATGTTAAAATCTTGTGCACCCTTTTGAATTTCAAGCTTCTGAAAAGAATAACCACAACAAAAATGACCCGACTTAGTTTTCCTATTCACAGCGACAGTACTAACGAAACGTTTTAAGTGATCTTATTAACACCGTCACAGTACCTTACAGTCATTGAAAAAACCAGCATCCAACATATCGAATCCACATTTACATACCGGAAAATTATTTTTGGCATGTTCCAAGTGTTCCCCGCAATTTTTCGGACCCAACTTCCCACCGATTAATGACTACAGATTATCAAACAGAAACTATAGCAACTGTATAATAGAGGCAACTAACTTATCATTCATTCATTTAATGCAAGTTTGAATGTACTACCTTGAAGTAAGGTCCCGGGAATAATAACCCCAGGTGCTCTGTGGTTAGAATTTGCATAACTTTCTATAAATTCTGACCTGCTTTGCAAATGTTAGTTTGAAGAAAGAGAGAGACACTATATCTTTATTTACCCTGTCACCTTCTAATCTGATGTTCCTATTCTTACGGTGCTAAAATATAACTCAGTAGTGTTCCACTACTATGTTATCCACAAGCTACTAAATGTACAGTGGAAATAATGACTGCAAGCTTGCAATGGAAATTAAACAAGAAAATCCATAGTAACTTCAAATGATAGATTGTATAATATAGGCAGTCCGGTGCATCAAGCTCCTAAAGGGTCAGACCATAAGGGTCTATTGTACCAATCATGTAATAAGTCTCTCACCATTTTTGTCATGGATATTATTACTTAATGCACTGGAAACTTCTTGACCGGATCAAACCAGGCATCGCTGTGCTCCTCTTCAACACACACTTTTAGAAAAGCTGAATTATTTTGGCACCTACATTTTTCAACAATCAGTAGCCAGGAGATTTAAAAAATTGAGTAAACTTGAGTATTTCCACATTATTGTAACGAGCATCCACATGAAGAGGCGTCTGCACCATCTGCATCCAGATAAGTAGGAAACAATATAAGGAGAATACTTTTCACAAGCAACCGTCTAATCTAACTGCAAGACTATGACCAGGTAAACATGATCGACAGCCAACTGTCTTTGAAACTTTTATAAGACCATCAGTATCCTGTTTTGGCTCCCTCTCTCTAGGAAATTCCTAAGGAAACTTAAAATAAAGAAAAATTAAAGACATCGTACCCAAGGTACTACTTATAATAGCCTCAAATTTAACTCTTTTTTCTTATAAGTGCATTAGCATAGTCTAACAGAAAAATAAAAACAGTGCAAGTTTGTTTATTAGTAGGATGCAGAGAAAATCTGTCATGCACAAGCGCATCATATGCTGGATGCAATCAGGGAACAAAATTTTCAGGAGTAGAACTGCTTGCCTTTTGAATTGTATAAGAACCCAACGAAAGCAAAAGAAGTAATTCAAGCAGTCTTTCTGTTTGAAGTAATCATGCAAAGGGTTGTCCAATAACTCCACCAACTGCATAGCCCAGTAATTTTGCATTACACTTTTGACAGTAGACATATGCTTATCAACCAGATACTATGAAATTTACAAATAAAAAATCTTTTACAACAGAAAAAAGGGTATGAAGGGATGGAAACGTCAGAGCTTCTAAGGAAAACATTATGCAGCAATGTCACACATTAGCCATAAAATGATTCATTTCTTAAATAGTCAGTCATGTTTAGGTGTGTATACTATAGATAGAATTATACTTTTCACAAGCAACCGTCTAATCTAACTGCAAGACTATGACCAGGTAAACATGATCAGTAGCCAACTGTCTTTGAAACTTTTATAAGATCATCAGTATCCTGTTTGATTCCCTCTCTCTAGGAAATTCCTAGAGGGAACTTAAAATAAAGAAAAATCAAAGACATCGTACCCAAGGTACTACTTATAATAGCCTTAAATTTAACTCCATATCTAGGTAAATCATAAAAAAATTGAGTTGTGTGTGTATACTATAGATAGAATCATCCTACCTGCTACCTTACTATCCTGCTATCATGTAAGATAGAGGTATATTTGGCTGTGGCATACAGTTGAGAAATGAAATATAGTTCACCATCTTTTAGTGACAGAAATAGTGCAAAACAAGTTTGTAGTTTCAGCAGTAATAGTACTGGCATGACTTCAAAGGACTCTGAGTAACACAAATCCTCACAAGGTTGAAGTAACAAGTTTGCGTACACATTATTCTCCCCAGGCCCCACTTGGGTTAGCAGATGGTAGTATCTTTAGATTTGCCTCGGCACCATTCTCAGATTCTTGATTGGTCTCTTACACCACAATAGTTGATCTAAAATTCACCTCTTGCGCAATTACATATTTAATGATCAAATCTGCTACTTTCGCCCGCGTATAATCCATAATGCCATCTGCCTAAAAAACGAAAAAATAAGATCAAAAGGTTAAATCCCATTTGCTCTAAGGTTTATTCTATGAGTGAACATTCCAGAATCACAACCAGGTGGTTCATACTAAAGATGGAAGAGCATAGAGGAATGATTTGTAAAGAAAAATACCATGGTCAGTCCAGTACATTTGTAATGGTTGATCAACTCTTGTTCACCTAACTAAAGTATTACAACTTTTACTGCAAAAATAACTGACAGCACATGGCACTAAAAATGTTCAGCCTTTACTTTTATTCCCAGTAACGACTTGCCCAAGTCTTATCAGATACTTATTTTATGTGACGACCCAAAGGGGTCATCACCTATTTTCTCATTCATCTCGTGCTTCCGAGGCCTTGAAAATCTCATTTTTAGTCTCCTCGATTTGCGTGCGCAGTCCGAGCGCGTAGCCGGAAAGCTTAAATATGAATTCTATGTGAAAAATGATGAACTTTGATATTAATATGAATAAAGTTGACTTTGGTCAACATTTTGGGTAAACGGACCTGGACCCGTGATTGGACGGTCCCGGAGGGTCCATAGAAAAATATGAGACTCGGGCATATGCCCGAAATCGAATTCCGAGGTCTAGAGCCCGAGAAATGAATTTTTCTGTGAAATTATTTTTCTGAAATTAATATGGAAATCTGAAAAGGAAATTGATTAGAACGTGTTGGTATCGGGCCCGTATTTTGGTTCCGGCGCCCGGTATAGGTCTTATATGTGGTTTAAGCGCTTTCTGTGAAATTTGGTTGAAATCGGACGTCATTTGACGTGTTTCGGACCTAAATATCTAAAAATGAAAGTTTATGAAGTTTGAAGAAAAAGTGATGATTTTGAGGTTTGATTCCTCGTTTATGATGTTATTTTGGCGATTTGATCGCACGGTTAAGTTCGTAGGATGTTGTTGAGTTAATGTGTGTGATTAGTTAGGAGCCCCAAGGGCTCGGGAATGTTTTCGGAGGTGTTCGGGGTGGTTTTGGACTTAGGATGATAGCAAATTTTCTGCAATTTTTGCACAGTATTTTGCTTCTTCGCATTCGCGGCTTTCAGCTTGCGTTCGCGTACATGTAGGCTCCCCCTTCTTCGCGTTCGCCTAGTAGTCCCCGCGTTCGCATAGTTCAGCCTCCCCCCTTCACCGCGTTCGCGAGTCCCCTATCGCGTTCGCGTATAACCAAATCTCGGACCCCAGCCCATTCTTCTACGCGTTCGCGACTAGCATCTCGCGTTCGCGACGCCTTGACCCATTTACCCTTCGCGAACGCGGCCCCCTTCCCGCGAACGCGAAGGGCATTTTTGCCCAGTGATTTTTAAAATTCAAAACAGAACCAGTGACGGAAAATTTCACAAAATACACACGAGCTCATCTTCTTCACAGCCCATAGGCGATTTCTAGAGCTCTCATTCACCAAAGCTTCTTGGGTAAGTATTATTTAACTTGTTTCCTTCATTTTCCTTCATCATTTATCAAATTCTTAGGCTCAAATCATGTAATCTAGGGTTGAAATTGGGGAAAATGGGTAGAGTTAGGGCTTTTCAATCTTCTTTGATTTAGACCTCGTTTTGGGGTCGAATTTGAAAACAAATTGTATATGGGGGAATGTGTGATGTGAAATTTGTTCGAACCTTGGGTTTTGACCAAGCGGGCCCGGGGTCGATTTTTCGAATTTTGGAAAGAAGGCTTAGAAAACTATATTTAGGCATTGGGTTTGATTTATTTAGCTTATATTAATGTTGTAAAGCCGTTATTTCATAGATTTGATTGAGTTGGAGCCGAGCTCGAGAGGGAAGGCGGTCGTTGTGGATTGATTTAGCTGTGGAAGTTGAGGTAAGTGTTTGGTTTAACCCTAGCTTGAGGGAATAGGAGTTGAATCTTGTTTGCTAATTGCTAATTGATTGAGTACGGTGTATAGGCATGGCGACGAGTATCTATACACTGGTGTCTAGCATGACCGTGAGTCCGAATATTGTGTTTATTCCTATTTTGTTGTGACTCTTCCTCGTGTAATTGATGAACTCTATATAATGTGAAGAGTATGGGAATGAATTATGATTTGTGAACTCCTTGGAACATTGGCTCGAATGCTAAAGTAATTATTGAGTAAGAAAAGAAAGAAAGAGAAAGAAATGTGATTATTCCCTTGCCGGGCCGTATTCGTATATTGATTACCTCCCTTGCCGGGATGTGAAAGTTTTTATTGTTGTTCCTTTGTCGGGATTTAATTATTTACTTGTATTTCCCTTGCCGGGACTTCTATTACAGTTTGTCTAATCCCCCGCCCCATTGTTTGCGATTGTTGTTTGGGTGAGGACGAGTGTTAAAGCACGAATGGTGATGACGTGCACGATTGTGATATGAATACTAATGCACGAAGGAACATTCCGTGCCCTGTTTTGATTATTTATGCACGAAGGAACGTTCCGTGCCCTGTTTTGATTATTTATGCACGAAGGAAAATTCTGTGCCCTGTTTTGATTATTTATGCACGAAGGAACATTCCGTGCCCTGATGATTACTAATGCACGAAGGAACATTCCGTGCCATGATATGAGTGTTTACGCACGAAGGGTCATTCCGTGCCATCATTTTGTGAGGTAAAGCACGAAGGGTGATGCCGTGCACTTTATATGATTGTTTGGGTGAGAATGAGAGTAAAAGCACGAAGGGTGGTGCCGTGCAACTGTTGATTTCCTACTATCGTTGCTATTGTAGTTGTACTGTTTCATTCTTCAATTATTGATTTTGTACCTGAACTGTTACAGCCCCTACAGTATGCTCCCCCTCCCCTTGACTGGTTAATTTCTGTATACCTTTATATTGCATACATATAAATATTGAACTGCACAGGTTTGTTTGGTAGTCCGGTCTAGCCTCGTCACTACTTCGCCGGGGTTAGGCCAGGCACTTACCAGCACATGGGGTCGGTTGTGCTGATCCTACACTCTGTGCATCTTTTTGCACAGGTCACAGTACCAGAGTAGCCTTGTCACGACCCAAACCCCGGACGTGATGGCGCCCAACACATTGCTAGGCAAGCCCGACCATTTACGCAACCTTAGCCAAATAATCTAATTAAATAAATAAATGTTCACTACTATAATACCAATTTAGTGCGGAAATTCTGATATAATCTCTAACATTCGAAAACCCCAAAATAAAATACTAAATAGCCCACAGAATCTGGTGTCACGAACATGAGCCTCTAGAAGCAGATTATTCACCTATTACAAGTCCGACTAGGAAAATAATACGAATAAAATAATAAAAGATAGAAGGGAGAGATCAAGGCTGCGAACGCCATGCAGCTACCTCGACACTCCCAGATAACTGCTGCTCAGCTAACAAGCCCTCACTCACCCTTTGGTGTACCTAGATCTGCACACAAGGTGCAGGGAGTATTGTGAGTACTTCCAACTCAGAAAGTAATAAATATAAATAAGGTCTGAGGATAAGAAATCCTAAATAAACACAAAGTAAGCTATAATTACAGCAGCTCAATCTAAATCATATCAC